ATTTATTTGTTTTAGGTTGTTATCATTTAAATTAGATTAGATAAGATTGGTTAGTTATCTTTTTAGATAATATTATCTTGTAAAGTCTATTTAAAGGCTAGATTATTTTCAGTTTAATGAGAGATTCAGTTTTTCATTCCATCATCTTCTTTTCGGGAATCCTTGATTTTCTAACATTTGGTATCAGAGCCTATTCCCAAAAAAAAATTCCATGGCTTCCGAAAATTATGTCCAACCCTCAATCCCTCGTTTTGATGTTCATCACTACGACCATTGGAGTATGTTGATGGAAAATTTTCTCCGGTCCAAAGAGTATTGGACTATTGTTGAAGCTGGAGTTCCAGAACTAGCGGCAGGTGCAAATGATGCACAGAGAGCAGAAATTGAGAAGGAAAAATTGAAGTATCTCAAGGCTAAGAACTATTTGTTCCAAGCCATAGATCGGGCTATCTTGGAAACAATTCTTAACAAGTCTACTTCCAAGAATATTTGGGATTCCATGAAGAAGAAGTATCAGGGGAATGAAAGAGCAAGGCAGCAATAGCGCCAGGCTTTGCGGGCAAAATTCGAAGTTCTGCAAATGCAGATTGGTGAATCTGTAGATGATTATTTTGCAAGGACGATGACTATTGCAAATAAGATGCAGATCCATGGTGAAAATCTGGAGGATGTTGCTATAGTTGAGAAAATCCTTCGGTCTATGACAACAAAATTCAATTATGTTGTTTGTTCAATTGAGGAGTCAAATGATATTGAAACACTTTCTCTTGATGAGTTGCAGAATTCATTGTTAATTCATGAGCGGAAGATAAATCGCCAAGACAAGCAAGAGCAAGCAGTGCAGATTTCGCAGACACAAGCCTTGCAGACCACAATTAATTCAAGGGCTGTAGGTCGAGGAAAAGAAAACTGGAAAGGCAGACCAAGATCTGGCAGACCGAGATCTGACAGATTGGAGGAAAGTTCAGCCACTGGAATTCATAAGAGGTGGCAGAACAGAAATTATCAAGCTGTAGATAACAGATCCAAATTTGCAGGAAATGCAAATATTGAATGCTTCAGATGTCATAAGTATGGCCATTATCGTTCTGAGTGCCGACTAATCTGAATAGAGGAGAAAGTTCTAATTTTATAGAACACAACGAGAAGAATGATGATTCCTCTCTCTTCATGGTCTGTCATCCTAAAGAAGTCAGCAAGAAGAATGTGTGGTATCTGGATACTGGTTGCAGCAATCACATGTGTAGAGACAAATCTGCGTTTTCAGATTTGGATGAGTCTTGTCAAGACAAGGTGAAATTTGGTGATAATTCCACTATTGCAGTTAAGGGAAGGGGAAAGGTAACCATTCGTGCCAAAGACAATTCAATTCAGACTATTTCTAATGTTCTATATGTACCAGATTTGAAGTCGAATATGCTTAGTCTGGGACAGCTTCAGGACAAAAGATATGAAATCCTTATTAAAGATGAAGTTTGCCAAATTCGTGATTCAAAACTTGGCCTGATTGCAAAGGTCAAGATGACGGGAAATAGGTTGTTTCCATTATACTTGCAGACCACAAATCTGTCATGTTTATCTGCCAGATTAAAGGACACAGCTTGGTTATGGCGTAGCCGATTTGGACATCTTTATTTTGGTGGGTTGAAAGCTTTGCAGCAGAAGAAGATGGTAAATGGTCTTCCTCATTTTGATTCTCCTTCAGAAATTTGTGAAATCTGCGTGGTCAGTAAACAGTACTGTGACAGCTTTCCTAAAGATAGATCTTGGAGAGCAAAGCAGGTGCTAGATCTGGTTCATTCTGATCTGTGTGGACCCATAAATCCAACATCCAATGGAGGTAAACAATACTTTATTACCTTTGTTGATGATTACAGTCGCAAAACATGGGTGTATTTTTTGCAAACCAAGTCAGAAGCCTTAGCAGCCTTTAAAAATTTCAAAGTCTTGGCTGAGAATGAGGTTGGCAGATTTGTAAAGGTTCTACGTACAAATCGTGGTGGTGAGTTTAATTCAAAGGAATTTGCAGATTTTTGTGAGTCCAATGGCATTAAAAGGCAACTCACAGCAGCCTATACACCTCAGCAGAATGGTGTATGTGAGAGAAGGAATCGCACAATCATGAATATGGTGCGAAGTCTGATGTCAAAGAGCGGCTTGCCTAAGGAGTTTTGGCCAGAAGCTGTTAATTGGAGTGTTCATATCTTGAATAGAAGTCCCACATCTCCACTTCCAGATTTGACCCCAGAAGAGGCTTGGAGTGGATGTAGACCTGCTGTTGATTACTTCAGAATTTTTGGGTGCATAGCATATGCCCATGTGCTAGATCAGAAAAGGAGTAAGCTTGATGACAAAGGGGAAAAGTGTATTTTCCTTGGTGTTAGTGATCAGTCCAAAGCTTACAGATTATACAATCCTTTAACTAAGAAGGTCATCATTAGCCGTGATGTAGTGTTTGATGAAGCAAGAACTTGGTCTTGGACAGAAAAATCTGGGCAACAAATTCTTGCAGATTTCGAAAATGGAGAAGATCTGACTGTGCAGAACTCAGAAGGTCAAACTTCAGTAGATCTCGAGGTTTCAAGACAGACAGCTGAAGAAAGTCTACCTACAAAAGTAGAGTTCAGTACTGGAGGAAGTCTGCCAACAACACCAGAACTGGAATTTGGAACTAGTTCCAGACCTCAACGCAAAAAGAGAAGACCAGCATGGTTGGAAGATTATGAGGTAACAGATCTACCTCAAGATGATGTTCCAGTTAATCATTTTGCTTTATTTGTAGATTGTGATCCATTGACATATGAAGAAGCTGTTAAAGAAGAAAAGTGGCAAAAGGCCATGGCAGAAGTAATTGGTTCTATTGAAAGGAACCAGACTTGGGAGTTGACAAATCTTCCAAAAGGGCACAAAACAATTGGTGTTAAGTGGATCTACAAGACAAAGCTCAAAGAGAATGGGGCGGTTGACAAATTCAAAGCTCGCTTGGTGGCAAAAGGTTATAAGCAAGAGTTTGGCATTGATTATCAAGAAGTTTTTGCTCCAGTTGCAAGGATGGATACCATCAAATTGGTGATTGCATTGGCAGCATAGAACTCATGGCCGATTTATCAGCTTGATGTGAAATCTGCCTTATTGCATGGAAATCTGCAATAACAGGTATTTATTGATCAACCTCTTGGTTATGTGAAATCTGGTTCTGAGCATAAGGTTTACAGATTGAAGAAAGCATTATATGGACTAAAATAAGCACCTAGAGCTTGGTATAGTCGAATTGATGCTTATTTTTTGAAGGAAGGTTTTCAAAAGTGCCCTTACGAGCATACACTTTACATCAAATTTGGAGATGGAGGTAAATTGATAATAGTATGCTTATATGTTGATGATTTAATTTATATTGGGAATGATTTTGGCATGTTGGAAAAGTTCAAGCAGTCCATGAAGCTTGAATTTGAAATGATAGATTTGGGTTTGTTGCACTATTTTCTTGGTCTGGAAGTAGTAAAGTCAGATTCTGGAATTTTTGTTTGTCAGAAAAAATATGTGCAGGAAGTTCTGGACAGATTTCAAATGAAAAACTGCAATTTTGTCACTACACCAGTTGATAAAGGTGTAAAGCTCGTGAAAGATCCAAGAGGCAGATCTGTGGACAACAAACTGTATAAGCAGATTGTTGGAAGTCTAATGTATCTGATAGCAACAAGACCAGATATAATGCATGGTGTAAATCTGATTAGCAAATATATGGAGCATCCAAAGGAGTTACACTTGCAGACTACTAAAAGAATTCTTAGGTATTTATGTGGAACTGCAGATTTTGGACTATTCTATAAGAAGGGTGACCAGACAGATCTCGTAGGCTTTACGGACAGTGATTATGCTGGAGATTTGGATGACAGAAAAAGCACTTCTAGGTTTGTTTTTATGTTGGGATCTGGTGCAATTTCATGGTCTTCAAAGAAGCAGCCCATTGTGACTTTGTCCACAACAGAAGCGGAATATGTGGCAGCAACTTCTTGTGCTTGTCAAGCTATTTGGTTGAGAAGAATTATGGAAGAACTTGAGCTGAATCAACATGAGGCCACTTCAATTTATTGTGATAATAGTTCAGCTATCAAGCTTTCTAAAAATCCAGTTTTGCATGGGAGAAGCAAGCATATACATGTGAGGTATCATTTCCTGCGCAACTTGGTAGAAGATGGAACAATTGAGTTGATTTATTGCAGAACAGAAGATCAAGTGGCTGATATATTCACAAAACCCCTCAAAGTAGCAACTTTTTCAAAACTGAGAGAGTTACTTGGTGTTTGCAGCATGCAGAATTCAGTTTGAGGGAGGGTCTACATGTTCCAGATTGCAGATTTGCAGATATGGTGTTATCTAGATTTCTTTAAACTAAAGTCTGAAGACTTTCAGTTTAAGGGAGGGATTGTTGGAAATTAGATCCTATTATTTAGCCATTATCTCTATATTTTAGGAAGTTTAAGTTATTTATTTGTTTTAGGTTGTTATCATTTAAATTAGATTAGATAAGATTGGTTAGTTATCTTTTTAGATAATATTATCTTGTAAAGTCTATTTAAATGCTAGATTATTTTCAGTTTAATGAGAGATTCAGTTTTTCATTCCATCCTCTTCTTTTTGGGAATCCTTGATTTTTTAACATGAGTGAATCTCACATATTGAAGATAATGTCCCCCTAATGGTGACAC